CTGCAAGTACCAGTGCACTTGCCTGGACGGGGCGGTGGGCTGCGTGCCGCTCTGCAGCATGGACGTCCGCCTGCCGAGCCCCGACTGCCCCTACCCGCGCCGAGTGAAGCTCCCTGGAAAGTGCTGCGAGGAGTGGGTCTGCGACGAGGCCAAGGAGCAGACCGCCGTGGGACCTGCTCTTGCTGGTGAGTGGGGGGTCCCTCCACGGACAGCAGCCTGGGGGGAAGGGACACCCTGCATGGAGGTTGAAGGTAGCGGGGTGACTTGATGAAGGGCACGCTGGCAGCTGGAGTGCAGTAGTAAGTGATGCCACTCCAGAGTTAAATGTGGCTGCCTGAATTTCTCAGGAAAGCGAAGAGAGCCTCTGGCAGGGCACAAGGGCAGACGGTGGTCTTATCCTAGCTGTCTGTCCCCTGCAGCTTACAGACTGGAAGACACATACGGTCCAGACCCAACGATGATGCGTGACAACTGCCTGGTGCAGACCACGGAATGGAGTGCTTGCTCCAAGACCTGTGGCATGGGCATCTCAACCAGAGTCACCAATGATAATGCCTTCTGCAGACTAGAGAAGCAGAGTAGGCTGTGCATGGTCAGACCTTGTGAAGCAGACCTGGAGGAGAACATCAAGGTAAATAGTCTCATCTTTATGTGTGGTCTACTAGGATGCTTCTATGGTCTACTAGGATGCTTCCATCCACTAGCAAAAACCTAGTGTCTTACCAAAAAATGTGCAGTTCTGACAGGCAGTTTCAAGTGACTTACCTTGAAATTTAAGTATTTTCTGCAGTGGTGACTAGTTCACAATTAAATGTCATTAATTTTCTCTAGTGCTCTATTATGGCAGTATAAGACACTCTTGCCTAATGAAAGCATAATAATGACTACTGTGTCTGCATGCCCTTAGCTTGCAAACTTAGAGCTATGTGAAAGCCTGCCTTCTAAACATTTTGTATTTGCTTATATCCTAACAGAAAGGCAAAAAATGCATTCGCACCCCCAAAATCTCCAAGCCCATCAAGTTTGAGCTCTCCGGCTGCACCAGCGTGAAGACCTACAGAGCTAAGTTCTGTGGTGTCTGCACTGATGGGCGCTGCTGCACACCCCACAGAACAGCCACCCTCCCCGTGGAGTTCAAGTGCCCTGATGGCGAGATCATGAAAAGGAAAATGATGTTCATCAAGACCTGCGCGTGCCACTACAACTGCCCTGGAGACAATGACATCTTTGAGTCTCTGTACTACAGAAAGATGTACGGAGACATGGCATAAAGCCAGAAGGAGACGCTAACTAGATTCTCAACTTGAACTGATTTGCATCTCATTTTGTAAACATGATTCAATAGCACAAGGTATTTAAATCTTTTTTTTTTTTTAATTTCAACAAACTGCTCCATGTGACTTAAGACGATTTTTCTACTGACCCCAAATGGTGGTTTGAAGAAGAAGGTAAAATGGACAGCGGGACCACGGCAAGACACAGCTTCAGAACACACTGTTCATGAGGTGGTGTGATGGGGGTTAAGGGAAATAGGCAGGAAAAGCAGATTCAAGCAAATGTTCCCTTAATGTGGTACATCGTGCTTCATCTAGTAGTGCAATTGGGAAGGAGACCATTAGCATGTTTGCTGGCACTGGTTTAACGACAGCAGTAGCTGGAATGCAAACCCTTGCCCAGCAAAGTGCGAAGCAGAAGGTGTTCTGGTAGTCAGGACAGTGATGTTTCAGCTCTGACACTCTGATTCATATGGCTTGGTCAACAAGAATCAGAATCATGTCTATTAGACTGGACAGCTTGTGGCAGTTAATTTACCTGTAACAAGCTACTTTTTATTAATATTGTAAATACTATGTGTATATATATTTGTACAGTTATCTAAATTAATTTAAAGTTTTGTGCCTTTGTTTAATGCTTTGAAATTTCAATGATAGCCTTCTTTTTTGGAACAAGATAGGTAGGATTTAAAGCTTGTTTGACAATGCATTCAAAGCATGAAATAGATACTCTAGTGGAAATTGTTCTGATAGGGCCAAATGGTGAGTTGAGATCTAGATTGTTAGGGTCGAAGTGCCTATATCCTTACAAAGCATTCATCTAGCAAAATACATTTACTTTCACTTTATTGGACCAGTGGCTTTAAGAAAAAATGGCTCTTCTGTAGCTCATCAGTCTTTCCACTCGAGCATTTGTTTCTTTCTTTGACTATGGCTCTTTTTGGACAGTTTTTTTTGTGTTGAGAAGTGTGACCAAAAGTTACATGTTTGCACCTTTTTAGTTGAAAATAAAGTATTTATATTTTTTATATAAATGGCTTGGTATTTCATTTACCTTTAGTCTTTACTGTTACTTTACATATTCCTAAAGGGCTTGGCTTTGCATTAGATGAAAATCAAGTAATGCCTGGTGGGATTTTTTGTCCGGAAACACATACACTTACGAATAAGCTAATGATTAATGGTTACTTATTCTGTTACTAGTGAACCAACTGTAGTTTGTTACTCTTCTGAACTTGGAATGGAGGGCAGGGTCAGGTGTGCTTTGCTGAGCCCGATATTGCATTAGAAAGTGCAACAGGTTCCTCATGCATCACATGTGGTGGCTGAAAATGAGCCAGCTGGTCACCATAGTATTCGACTCCTGCTATAATACTCCATGCAACATACTTAATTTCCTTGAAATGTTCCACTGGTTAAGATTTGTTTACAGCTAAGGCAAGGAAAATGGTTTTTAAAGTACCTGCCATGAAAGCGGCTCCTGACTTTAGAGTCAAATCCAGAAGTCCAAAATTTAGTAAAATTCTCAGTGAGGAGCTGATGAGTTGTATCATAAAAATCACAGAATAATAACAGGTTGGAAGGGATCTCTTAAGATCTTCTGATTTAACCTTCATGCAGACTAGGGCTAACTACTTGAATTTTCAAGACCTTTAGTGTGGAATAGTGGAGAGAGCACTGAGTTCAGGTGGCAAATACCTGGGTTATCTTCCTACTTGATGACTAGGGGCAAATAATTTTATGTGATAGTTCTGTCTGGAGAGTGTCCATTGATGTAAACTCTTGCAGGCTGACAGATCAGAAGCATTGTAAGAGCTACACATTTTGATAATGATCCAAACATTCTTCTCAGATAAACAAAAAACAGTGTAAGGACAGTTGTGAGCCACTTCCCACATCCCCCTAAAGCTAAAATGAAAGCTTCAGTCCTGTGCTAGGTCCTACATTAATAACAGACTTTTTTTGTCCCTTTGTTAAGATGAGGGGGTTCTCTGAATTTAAAATTAACCTTTGCACTAGAAGCTTTAGTTCTTGTTTTCAGAAAAAACACGTACTCTTAAACAAGAATCCTTTTCAGGCAAACAAGTTCAATCTGGAATTTCCTGGTGGCGAAGGAGTGTTAGCTTACCAAAATGGCCATCCTTCCTGAGCACCTTCCAATCCCGTTGATTTCAGCTAGTATTAGTGGCAAATCAGTGTAACACCAGCTTTGACTAATGATGGACATCAGAGCCCTATACTAATGGGAAGTCAATGGGAGTCTTGCCAGTGGCCTCACCAGGCTTTGCACAAGGCCATAGAAGCATTTCCCCTTCCTCTAAAAAATACGAGGAATTCTCCTGGCATGAGGAAGTGGCTTCCTGTGTCCCATATGAAATAGTTTTGGGTAGCCTCTGGCTCTTACGCTCCCTGAGACTCTCCAGTGTTTTTTCTCTCTTTATTTTTTTTTTTTTTTTTTTTTTTTTCAGGTTATGAATATGATGCAGCCATTCAGTTCCCCCTGGAAACACTTCAAACACTCATACAACCACAGGGCTGGTTGTCCGACCGCTGCTGTGGCTCCACCCCCAAATAACAAGAGAACTGTCATTTCTAGTTCCAGCAAGGACAGGACGTACACGGACTTCGTTCCTAGCCGTCACTGCAGAAGCTCTCAGGAGCAAAACAGAAAGAAGTGCAATATACCTGGCATGCTGGGTTTAATGCCCTTAAGAGATGGCATGTGTATGATGCTGCTCGAGCCCGTTCATTAATAACTCTGCCCTGCATTCTTTTACAAATTGATATCAGTCATTATAATGAGCGGCCATTCCGTCTAACATCGGCCTCTTGAGCCTCATGACCAGCACATGAGGTTCACTCAGGTTCTATTCCCAGTCCTCTGCGGTATGGGATATACCTCAGACACTTCAGCAGCCCAGTGCTGTGGTCTCCTCCGGCACTGCCCACCAGCTATGCCTGGCATACAAGGCTGCAGGGCCAGAGAGCAGCAGCAGTGCTCCAGTTTAGGAAGGGCCTTCTTTAATTAGACACCCAAAAAGGGGCTCCCCCAAAACAGCTCGGGACCACGACCTATCGTCTGCCTGTAATGCAACAGTGCAGCTGCTTTGCCTGCCATCTGACAAATTATCGCATTGCTTCACAGGCTGGGGGAGAAGGACAGAAGAACACATGTAGTCTTCTGACAGAAGCATGCATTTTACGCTGTTTCACAGGTCTTAGGCCTCTGAAGTTTTTGTCTCTGAAGGTAAAGAAATTCAAATGCTTCGTTGTAAGGTCTCCTAGAGGCGTAGGTAGGCATCGTACTTTGTGTAAGACTTTCTTTCAAAGGTATCCTGGGAAAAAGGAACCCTTGTGTGGAATTTATGGCATCTGAAATGATGGTTAAAATGTGGACCTTTCAACCATAAAGATGTTTCCTGATTTCGTTTTTTTGTGCTGAAGATGCATAGATGCAAGAATAAAAACTTCAGTTCAAAAGTCCAAAGTCACTTGCATGGGAGAGAACATTGGTTCACATTCCTTCCAAAATACCTTGTTTTGGAAGAAGTTTGCTTTTGGATGTTTGCATCCTCAGCAAATCCTATTGGGCAGGTTTGCTACTGTTCTTTTAAGGTACTTTATTCGTGTATGAAAGTATATTCATTCAAATGACTAGTTTGGATCTTCAGCAATACTAATAATATAGTTAGTAAAGGACCACTGTAAAGTCAATACTCAATTAATAAGTGATACTTAATCATTAAACAGGAATTCAAGGTGGCTGGAGACCAGAGTATCAAGTAGTTAGTGAAGTAACTCTAAGCCATCGTATTTCAGATTTTTGTACCACAACACTTTCTCATGGATTTGCAGCTTAGCTTTCTAACACAATACAGATGTGAACAAGAGACATGGATTATAGCCCTTTCATGTGAGATAGGTTCTACTCTCCAGATGGAAATTTGTCAGATTCCTCAGAGCTATGAAACATCCAAAAGACACCAGTTAAGAAACTCTTCAAGAATGAGCCACTTTTAATGATCCATAACCACACAGGAACAAGTAAGTCTTTGAACAGTATCCAGTTGTTTGTCTCACAAAGACGGGGACTCAGCTGAGAAAACTGACTTTTGGACACCACTGGAAACAGCATACTCTAACTAGATCATTTGTATTTTTTTTCGTGTAGCATAGCTTTTTCAGACATGGCACTTGAAGAAAGCAATCGTACCATTACACTGAAAAGGACATTAAATATAAGTATTTAATATTCTTACCTAATAAGTAATACTCTTACCTAAACATATAATAATTCAGCCATTCTGACTTTGCATCCTACCACCAAAAACCTAAGTTCTTTAAAAACGGTGCTTAAATGTGGCTTTAACTGATGTTATACTGTGCCTACACATGGAAGTAGTTAGCAAGGAGAAGTTCAGATGAAATACCAGCGTACGGCTTTGCCCAAAACCCGAGAAGAATCTGAGAGAGGAAGTAGCTCAGTTAACTTATTTTTCCTCTCATTTTCCACTTTTTTTCCTCCCTGCAGTTCCTTTGATTCATGCCCATAAATGGACATACCAAAAGCCACCACATTCTCACAGTGTTTTTCAGCCTGCCTGGAACCAGGAAATACCAGGAATTTCTTCAAGGAACCTGTTCCCAAACTGTACTAAAGCCTTCAACACATTTAGTGTACGAACGGAGTTTAGCAGCGTGACTAAGGTGCCATCTCCACTGCACGACCCAGCGTTGCTCCTGCATTAAATTAAGTTGTTCTCCAGTTGGAGAACAACTGTTTTCCAGTTGGAGAACAACTGCTTGCCGTCCTTACTGCTGGCCCTGCCCTTTTCAGATGTCCTCTGTGCCAGGCCAAGCCCACGCTCCCAGGGCAGTGAATATGGGGTGATTCCGAAAAGCGTCCCCAGAAACGCTGTCTGTGTATTGTGGCAGCATTCTTCAGCTCCTGCCTGTTATTGGGGCAGTGCCAAATGCAGGGGTATTTACAGTTGCTTAATGGTAAGTAAATCCAACCCTAATAGTGTAATAGTGTTTATGCTGTGAGGAACAAAGCATTTTACAGCCTGGCCAGCAGGACCAAAAGGTTGCTAACGCAGTACTGCAGTGTAAACACAATCCAGTGGTGCCTCCATTCATTACCCGGCCCCCTTAATTGGGCCACTGAAAGAAGTGCACAATCCAAAGAAACGTTTGTTGGTTTAAATTAGTCCTATTAAAAGCAGGTATTTAGCAGCTTTCAGCAGCTACGAAATATGTTTTCCTGCTCCTGTGCTAAATACTAAGAACCAACTTTTCAGGCAGTTTTCAGGACTTAATGTCATGGTGCCTCCATTCATTACCCGGCCCCCTTAATTGGGCCACTGAAAGAAGTGCACAATCCAAAGAAACGTTTGTTGGTTTAAATTAGTCCTATTAAAAGCAGGTATTTAGCAGCTTTCAGCAGCTACGAAATATGTTTTCCTGCTCCTGTGCTAAATACTAAGAACCAACTTTTCAGGCAGTTTTCAGGACTTAATGTCAGCCCAGCTAATTGACGTAGCTGCAGCCACACTGGTTTAGACCTCCTGTGGCCCGAAGACCTGAGGCTGCACACAGTTAGGGGAACTGCACCGGGCTGTGTGCCTGGGAGGGCTCCCAGGAGGCTGCAGGCTGGTTCCTGTGACGTTTGCTGGGCAATAAGCACGTGGAGGAGTACAAATTGCACAGGAAAGTATTACCTACTAGGGAAATGCTAAGCCGGTGTATCTGGTAAATTAACATGATGGACTAGAATTTAAAACAGATTTGAAATATTATTCCAGCTTTAGACAATGCAACATCTGAGGTGGTTAGATATAATCTTAATACACTGTGATATTTGTTAATTATGCTTTATTAATTACATATTTCCTAAGTCTTGCAATTAAAAAAAAAAAAAAAGAAGTCTTTATTCTTAACCAAAGAAGACATTTGATGTCTGCCTGTGATCTGGCACAACACCACGCTCTGAAGGAACTTGCTTTGCCCTAACGCTCAGTCTTTGGTTACACCA